GCTTCCAAGAGGGTAAACGTTAAAAAAAAAAAATAATAATAATAATCATAATAATTTATATATTTCGTTAAGCTAAACTGCTAGACTTGATTGTTGAAAAAATAAGATACAACAAAGTTAGTGACATATATACTCAGAATACTCAAGAATAATGTGTTCTAATTTATATGATATTAAAAATAACAAATCTCTAAAATCATACAAATCTAAATACTCCAGTTTTTAAAAACAATGCAAATTAATGTGAGTTATTAAAATTTATCTACCCTAACTGCTAATAAATAACTCACATGAATTGCACTGCTCCTAAGTATTGCTATAAAAATTTCGTTCACGTGATTATTGCCAATAAAATATCATAATTTGGTGAACATAAAATAATTGAAAAAATTTAAAACAAACTTATCTTTGTCATAAATCGCTTATTTTTCAAGATTTATATTAGAGCCTACTTTTTATACACTAGTAAAAAGTTTTTCTTGTTCAATTTTACTATAGAGTTGTCTAAATCTAAACCCTAACTAGACATTAACCCAAATATAAATGAACTTAAAAGAATTTTCTATTGTTCATATGGAGGCAAAATTTTTTATGACCATGCTAGAAAAGATTGCTTCTAAGCATTGTCTATCAGATAATATTGTGTTAAAGCAAGACCAAGATATGCAATTGGTGCTTAAAATAAAATTTAATAGATAGTGATATTGCATTACAAACAATAATAACAAATTAGGCAACTAATATTATAATCTATACATATATATATACATCCCTAATTATAATATTCCTTTTACTAATTATCTCTTCTTTCTTTTTGTTTGTAATAGGCAGCATTATGACTCACTTCATTAGATTGTCTATACCCGTATGTATCTCTAGAAGTTTCTTGCCAGTTTTGTTTCTTTTCTACACTATTTTTATAATAATATTTAGTGGTTTTTCTTTTTCTAATAACATGAGTTAGGTTTTGAACATTCACAAGAAGTTGTACACTATTTTCTTCATTAGAATAACTATCATCCAGCCTTCTAATATAGTTTAACTTGTATTCACAATATTGATATTTATTTCTTTTAATTGTAAAGGCCTCTTTGCTATACTCTTGACTTGTGTACTGTTACTGTATATATTAATTTCATTTTTTTTTCTCTGAATATAACTTTGAAGAATATCAATAATTTTATTATTATCATTGTCTACTGCTATTATTATTGCCTCACAAGCTAATCCCTATATTTTACTATATATATTTCTTTTTTTTAAAGTTTTTTTCATAGTTAAATTGTAACTGGAGCTGTAGGAGGCTTTCAAATTAAACAAATCTCACTATTTTTATATCTTTCATTAGTAATTCTTTTTCATGAACAAATATAACTTTCTTATTTTTAAATTTTTGATTTTCTTGATAGGAGTCCTTATATCATCATAGGATTATTGATATATAGAAATCTGCAACTTTAAAGTATATTATAATATAAAAGTAATGGTGGCAGATAAGTCCCTTTGAAATTGACTTAAGGCATGAATATAAGAAGAACACCAAGTTTACAATAGCTATAAAGTAAATATAATGCCTTTTTTTACTGCGGATATTAGAAATTTTTCAGATTTTAGTTATACTTTCACTTCTGACTTCATCTATAATAGCTTGAAGTATAATTTTGCATGTATTATCACTATCTTTAATAAATCTATTCAATACTTCTTCAATATTTTCTTGTTCAGTATTAAGTTTATTAGACATTGGTTCAATTTTATTTGCTATCCCTTAGATTGTAGACCAATGCAGGCAAATTTGCCTGTGTTGGTACTATAAATATACTACTGATCTATTTTTTTAACAATTTAGAATATTTAAATAAAATTTGGTATAATA